TACATCGACGCGGAGGAGCTGGCTGAGATCTTCAGGGCCTCTGGGGAGCACGTGACAGACGAGGAGATCGAGTCTCTGATGAAAGACGGGGACAAGAACAACGACGGCCGCATTGACTTCGACGGTGAGGGCTGCGGGAGCGCGGGGCGCGGGGCGTAGAGCCGCGCGGGGGCGCGCGGGGCGGGGCACCAGTGCAGCTGCGCCCCAAGCGGGCGCCCAGCCTTGGGGCGGAGCTGGGCGCCGCCTGACCCAGTTCCTCCCGCGGGCTGGCAAGGAGCCCCCCGCGGTTTTGTGCAATTTATCACTAACCGCGCAGGCACGCCCTCGGTGTGGCCAGATCCCTGGCCAGGCCTCACTCGTCCCCGACACTGCGCCCCGGCGCAGGGCTCCGCGTCCCGAGGGGACCCCTGACCGCCTGTTCCTCTTTTTCCCGCAGAATTCCTGAAGATGATGGAGGGTGTGCAGTAAGAAGTCCGCCCGAGCCTCCATTGAGACCGCGCGGCCCTCGGGCGTGGGGGCTCCGCCCCGCCCAGTGTCATTCCCCGCCCGGGAGGGAAGCTCGGCCCTTTCTGGGATGCCCTTCTAGAAGGAATAAAAGCAAACGTTGCAAAGCGCTTGGACTGAGTGAGGGGAGAATCCAGGAGCGGGTGTCCGAGGAGCTGGGCCGCCATGCAGGGCGCCATCTCGGCTGGCGCCACCGGAGCGCCCTCCGAGCGCCCTCCGGCTCCGAGAGGCGACTCCAGCTGCGGGCTGTGGGCGGTCGCAGGAGCCGAGCGTAGGGCCGCGCTGGACGCGCTCCGCAAGTTCTCGCCCGGCGCCCGCAGCTGGCGCTGGGCGTGTGCCGCTCAGCGGACAGGCCGCCGCGGCGCCTGGCGCTGCTGGAGGGAGGCCACAGGGGTCTATTTGAGTCAGAACAAGCCGGCGGCCCGCGGAGGGTGCTGGGGACCTGGGGTAAAGCGAAGCGGCAGCAGGAGGCTGGACCTGGGGGAGGGAGGTGAAGCTTTCTTTCCGCACCGTCCCTGCCTCCTGGAGCCTTTGGGTCTCGGGCTCAGGCTAGCGGGTTGAGGATGGGGGAGCGGGTGCCCATCCATCCCAGGCGGTAGCATTCCCCCTTGATCTTTTCCACTTCCTCTGCTCTGAGCGGCTTATAGGTCTCCCGCAGGCGACGGTAGGGGGACACTCAGCCAGGAGGCAGGTTGCGACCTCATCATCTCCACCCTGGGTCCCTGCCTCTGCCTGGTCTCCCTGGCTTCAGCCCCTTCCAAAGCCATCGGCATGATCTAGCTGAAATGAAACCCGACCTGGCCAACCCCCTTCTGAAAGTCTTTCAAGGCTCCCCGTGGCTTCAAGAATCAAATCCATTTTCCTATCCCTCCCCTCTGGCACTCCATCCACACTGGGCAATCTGTCATTCCCGCTGTGAGCAGTGCGGATGCGCATTCGAGCCCCTGGGCCTTTGCACATGTTGTTCTCCCTCCTTGGAATGCCTTTCCTCCTCTAGTAAGCCTGGCAAATTCTTGAACCAGCTCAGATACCATCTCCAAGATACCAAGACCCAGGGCAGATACCATCGGCTCCTCCCAGAAACCTGCCGTCACTGGCTGCAGGCTGGCTTTGTACCCTACCCAGTTACAGCAGGCCAGGGCAAAGCTAATTAAGGACAGGGGTTGTTTGGCCTCAGTCTGGCTGGGTTTGATTCCTCACTCCCCGGGACACAGGAAACCACTCTGTGCTTCAGTTTCCTAATCTGTAAAATGTAAAATCTGATCATGGTGGTACTTATTGCACAGGGTTGGGAGAAGGAGTTCAGGTGTGGTGAGTACTTAAAAGAGAACCTGACACATAATCTCAGTGTTTAATATATGCCATTATAAATGTCATTATTATCATTCCGAAGCTCTGAACTCCGCTGTTATTCATGGCTGCGGCCCTCCCTCCCCCACTCCTGTTCGTGTTTCCAGGTTTTTATTTCCATTCTGGATCAGTGCGGGGGGTTAGCAATCGGGCATTATTTCCTCTGGCCACACAGCCCCGGAGGCACACAAGCTGATGATGTCTATTTTATAGGCGAGGAGACTGAGGCCTGGGGAGGTGCAGTACACAGCACACAGCGAATAGCCTAGGTGACCTTGCTCTGTGGTGGATCGGGAGCAAGGCCCTTACTTGTTGACAGTTCTACCTGGGTGTCCTGCCCCGAACAGACAAGTTCCCCTACTCCTCCATCTTGCTCTCCCAGGTGCCTTGTCTTCGGGATGGTCCCCTGAGGGAGGGGGCCTGGGCCAGGAATCCTGGAGCCCGCATCCCACCTCTAATTTACTAGCTGTGCTCTGCTGCTTTCTATCTCCTTATCACTTCATCCCTCCTCTCCATTCCATGCCCGCTCCGAGTTACACATCGGCCGCCGCCACTGCATACCAGGCTGTTGAGAACAGCAGTTAACCACCTCCCTGCCCTTTACTGTCCAGACAACAGCCAGAGGGATCTTTCTAAAAAACCAAGTCTGATTGGGTCACTGTGCTGTTCAAGGCTTCATTAGCCCCCAGTTGCTCTCAAGATAAAGCCCAAGCATTTTAATACGGCTTTACTAGCCCCTGGTGACCTGACCTCATGCCGCTTCCCCAGTCTTCATTCCTCCCCTCCTGCCCCCACCCCCCCACCGAACTTCTTGCTTTCCAAGGAGTGTGCTTTCTTATTCCAGCCGCATGGTCCAATCCTTCTTCAGAAAGCTCTCCTTGACCCTCCCAGTCCTTGTTAGGTGCCCCACCTCTCAGCTGTCAGAGCAACACGTGAGTCTGGCACCCCACATTTGCTGAGTGCTTACTGTGTGCCAAGCTCAGCTCCCTTACCTCCCGTTTTACGAAGAGGTTGCGTCTGAATGCCCGAGTGCACACAAAGGAGCATGGGGGTGGCGTGGGGATTCTAACACAGTTCTTCTGCCTGCCTGGTCCGCACTCTTCCCCATCGCTCCGTGTGACACTCCCTCTACCTGTCCATACGTCTGTCTCCGCTTTGACCTTCAACCTCTTGGAGCACGGGACTGTGCCTTTTCCCTGCTTTACCCCCAAGCACAGGGCCTTCACCCTGTAGTCCCTCAATCACTGTAACAGGCGAATGGGAATAATAATCATGATACCTTTGAAAAAAGATCACGAGTAGGATTTTTTATTTGTCACCATTAAACTCTCAGCCCTAAACAGCTTCTTGAACTGGGGGCTTGTGTCTATCCACTCGATTTGCCATGAGGCTCCATGAGTTTTTCTAATTCAAACCTGGGCTTCTTCAGCATTTTGGCTTTTCTAACAAAGACCTCATGGAGTGGATAGATTGGCGAGCCTTTTCTGTGTCTTTTCCAATGGTATCGGAATCGATTTACTGATCACTTCTTGCAAGTCATTTGTCTGCGCTCTCAGGTTGCGATTTCCATCCTCTTCCTCTGCATTTGGCGGACCCACCGGTACTGAGCATAAGAGGTCTTCCGAATCTGGTTGTTGCACTCTCAGTAAAACCAGCACAGCACAGACAAAGCAAATAACCGTCTGTGGTCTTGACATCCACATGAGCTTCGATCATGGTCTGCCCCTTTTTTGACCATGGAGCACTTTTTGACACAGGTAAGATCCATGCCGTGGAAATTAGGCAGTTTTTTTGTCCTGGCTGGTGTGGCTTAGTGGACTGAGCACCCACCTGCAAAACAGAAGGTTGCCAGTTTGATTCCCAGTCAGAGCACACACCTGGGTTGTGGGCCAGGTCCCCAGTATGGGGCAAACGAGAGGCAACCACACATTGATGTTTCTCTCCATCTCTTTCTCCTTCCCTCTCTAAAAATAAAAATAAAAAATCTTAAAAAAAACACACTAGAAATGAAGAATCTCAGGCCCTACCCCAAACCAACTAAAGCAAAACTTACATTTGAACAAGAACTTAAGTGGATTTATAAGCACTTTAGATTGAGAAGCAAAGCTCCAAAGAGAGAGCTAAGGGCACAATCTGAGAGATAAAGAAGCTGAACAAGGACACCCAAGTTCCACCCGATCTGACATCTTCAGGTCTCACATGTGGCTGCTAGGTGGGGTGCAGGGCAGGAAAGGAGGCTGGGATAGCAGGAGTAAGAAAAAGGGTGGGTGAGAACTTCCCCAGTAAGCCACTTGGTGTTTTTCTCTCTCTGCCCAAGGTCTGCACAACCAGCTGCAGGCAGGGCAAACCCCAGGGTGGGTGGAGGCTGAGACCTGGGTGGTGTCGCAGTGCACCTGGGTGCGGTTTGTCCAGCTTGGAGATCTTCCTGCAGGAGCTGGGCTGGGCCCATCACCTCAGCCTGCTCTTCCCTCTGCTGGGCCCCAGCTGGTCAGCACAGGGGTTTCCTCCCAGGGGAAAAATGGTCCGTGGGGCTGTGGGCCTGAGTCACTGGGTACAGCAGCTGGAGGAAGTGCTGGAGGTGAAATGTGCCCCCCTTGGAGCATGGGGCCATCTGTGGGGGACCTGGGGCAAGGGGCCCATTGAGAGCTCGGTCTGGAGGGAAGGGATTTTTCCTGGCTGTCTCTCCAGACCCTGGGCCTGCTGCAGGACGACCCTTGCCTTTCCCTTTTGCAGGGCCAGAGCACCTACTGTCAGAAGGTAGGTGGCAGGTCCTCTGCACCCCACCCCCCAGACTATGGTCTGGTTTAGCCTCCTTGGCAACACTGTGGGGCAGCTCCAATAGCTGCTAGCATTCCTGGAGCAGGTCACTATTCCAAAGAAATAAGCAAAGAAATAGAAATGTGACACCCATCTTACAGATGTGAGACAGATGTAGAGTCATAAAATAAGGCCACAAGGGACCAAATCCTAGTCACTCCACTGCTTGGCCCTACGGGCTGGACATTTTGAAGGACACGTGTTTCTCCCGGGAGAGAGAAGCCCAGATCCTAGGACCCTGACCCCGCCCCGCCCCACCTGGGTACTTCCAACTCCAGGGTAAGTACAAGACAGCAACATGTAGGGGGGAAAAAAAAAGAAAAAACAACAACACATCAATATATATTTATTTAATATATTCATCACAGGAGTTCAACCAGAGACTTAATTTAAAAAACAGAAATAAAACAAACAGGACACCACAACTGAAGATACAGAGTCATATACAGAAATCAAGGCAAGGACAGACCATCTACGGGAAAAATAGAAAATAAAAGACAGCACCAGGAGAGGGCGGGACAGCCGGGGTCAGGGCTCTTCTTGGCTGGAGACCTGCTTCGCGTAGGTTTCTTGCACGTACTTCTTAAAGGCTGGATGAGAACAGGGAGGTCTTGGTGAGTGATGGGGACAGGAGTTGGGGGGGCAAGAGGGCAGCAGGGATGCAAAGGTGGGCAGAATTTGGGGGCAGTTCTCAGAACAACAGGTTCTCCCTCTGCTGCCCAGCCCGTGAGTCCCCTGCCTCCCACGAGACTGGCGAGGGGCCTGGCTTTGAGCAAGTCATTTGCACAAAGCTCTGCCTTCTCTACTTAAAAAGCCCCTCAACCCACAGGGTCAACTTTCTGCTTTTACATCCAACAGGCAAACCAAGAACACCAAAGCAGAGAGGTAGGATTGGCTTCCTTGCCCCTTAGGACACATTCCCAAGTCATGGAGATCCTTTTGCTTGCGGGAGCCTTGGGAGGTTGGGGAGGGATCACCTGGTGCCGGAGGAGGAAGGAGGAAGGGCTCACCCGTGGGGTTTTTCCAGAGCTCGGCAGCGTGTGTGTTCAAGGGGCTCTCGATGTTGGGTTCTGTGGGCGAAGAGAACAAGAGCGGTCAGTGGGGTGGGCGAGGCTGCCTGGAGGAGTCCTGATAGGCTCCCAGGCTGCGGGGGGGGGGGGGGGGCGGGGCTAGCCTCAGAAGTCACCTCCTAACAGGCTCTGGATGGACAGCAGGATGGTCCTGACGTCATACAGCGCGGACCACTTGTCCTTCAGGATGTCCAGGCAGATGTTGCCCTGGGTGTCCACGTTGGGGTGGTAGCAGGGCGTGAGGAACTTCACTGTTGGCGCGTTGTAGGGGTAGCCACTGGGGAACTCCAGGGAGAGCTTGTACCTCAGGTCTTCGTACACCTGGCGCGGGGAAACAGAGGCTCACATCCCAGCCCAAGCCGCACGCGAGGGGCTTGCTAGGACCTCTGAGTTTCTCTGGGACCTGACAGAAGGCAGTCTTATACTGGTTCCGGTGCTTTCTCTCATACCTGGTGGGGACACCAGGGACCCTTTGGTCTGAGGGTTGTAAAGTGGCACCCGAGGGTCACCAGGCCGTGCTTTCTAGTCTAATCAGACTATTAGTTGCTAACACGTACAAGTTAGGAGATTTGGGGCACAGATCTGGAGTTCTGACTTCTCTTAAACCCGGGAGTGTAGCAGCAGAGAGCCACCCTCTTGCGACTTGTGCCCTCTCCTCCGCCAAAGTTCTTGCTTGCCCACCATTCCTTTCCTTGCTCTCTGGCCTCTGAGGAACCTAAGATGGAGAGACCCGCTTTAAACCCCCCTTCTCAGTATACAGGAGGGGAGACCGGGGCCCCAGGCCCAGAGCACAGGGGTGTCCTGTTCGCCTAAAGGCTGGAAGCAGAGCTGGTGGCACTTGCATTTTCACTTCCCACCTCTCCCCAGACTCCGCAAAATCACAGCCGCCCAGCCCAGCCCTACACTTACTGTGCCAGCTGCGCCGTGGATGGTCCCCACCCACTTGAAAAGGTTGTCCGATTCAGGGAAGGCAGAAATTCCTTTGTCGCCAGACATCTGGGGAGGAAACACAGCACTTGCTGGGCTGCAGAGAGCACTCCTGGGAACAATGGCTGAACCCTCACCCCTTAGTCCCATCACATTCTGACCCAAGACACAGCGGTCAGGGCAAATCGGTCAGGGCAAATCGGTGGGCTTTTCTAAGGAAGCGGTTAGACTCTGGGGCCTGAACACGTCCTTCTGGGGAGGAGGTCTGGGATTATGAAGGTTCAGCGCCGGGCTAGGGAGGGAGGGATTATGCAGTGACTGTCTTGGTTGCTGGGAATTCAATTCAAAGTGCTCCTGAGTGCCCGTTCCACACGGAGCCCAGAGACTACTCACAGACCACGGAGATATACAATATGGGCACTGCAGGACTTGGACGGAATACTCAGGGATAACGTAGGAAAGACCATCTAGGACGCACGCATCCCAAGGAGCGACAGGACTAGAGATACTGAGAGTGGAGAGGCGGGCACGGCTAAAGCTGGGGGCAGGAAAATAGGGCCTGGGGAAGGCCTTCCACGGCTTCTGGGAGCTGTACTTTAGAGGGGACTTCATTGCGGGGAGACCGGATGAGGAGCGCAGGCGGCTGGAAGAAAGGCGTGGGTGGGCATATGAACTTCTTCCCGGGAGAGCGCAAACCGGACTCAGCTTTTCCCCCCTGTGTCTGAGCAAAGAGCCCGCTGTGCGGCGGGGGGCTGCTGGTGAGTGTGCGCACAAGCGCGAGGGTGGACCCACTGGCCGGGGACCGGGCAGGTAGTCACTCACCATGAGCGTCATCAGCTCCTGCTGTAACCTGCAAAGAAGGCGATCGGAGTCACCTGGGAGTCTGGATGGGCCACGACTTCGGATGGTCCCATCTCCTCCCACCCGGGTCTTTGTGAAGGAGCTGTCACGGAGGCTCACCCCTACCCTGAGAGGAGACTGGGCCTGGGGGCACACTCCCGTTCCCACCCGAGGGTCCCAGGGAGTCCTCAATCTCCCTGCTTCCAGGCTCTCTCAGCACGATGCTAGCGTGTTCCTAACCCCCGCCGCTCCTCTGGCGTCTCTCCCCGTGCCAAATCACAAAATTGTTCTTCGCCGTCCCCACAAAGCCGCCGAGGGTCCCCGGGACATCTTCATAGTGGCTCGTTTGCGGAGTATTCTGGCAGCATTCCTACACCTTCTGTCCTCCTTCGGGAGGGTCTCTAGGAGCAGCCCGAGCTCCTAGAGTGTCTGTCCCTCCCGTAGCTCAGCCGGTCCGAGGGGGTCCCGGAAGTCTTTGCTCTCGGGCCCACTGCCCAGGACGTGCCACACCCGGCTTTAGCCCAACAACACTCACCTCTTGCCCACGGGACCCCGGGCGGCGCCCCCGCTGGGCTCGGCTCCTTTCCGAGCAGCGGCGACGCTGGCGGCGGCTGGGTCGCGGTTCTGGGAGGCCATGCGGGCAGCGTTGGCAGGGACGGGCAGAACACCTGTGAGAGGACACCGCTGCAACTGCAGGGCTGCGGCGCAGTCCGCTTGCATTTGAATTGCGACTCTCTGGGCGTGTTGGCCAATCCGTGGCTCGCTTGGGTTTGATCCAGCCAATGGGCAGCGCTGGAAGGCTGTCACGGTGCAACCGCTAGACTCACGCACTAGCGCGGCGGGAATCCGTTTCTGAGGGGCGATTGGCTGCAGGGGCTGCCATTAAAACGAGTCTGCAGTGGATTGGTGGCGTTTGGAACAGGACGACCATTAAAGGGCTAAGAAAACGCCCACGTGGAGTGAGTTCCTTTAGGTCCAAGGCCTGGCTACCCGCGGCAGCGTCCAGCAGGCCCAACCAGGACCCTCCTCTCGGCGAAACGGAGGGTGTTTACTCTTGCCCTGCCGCGCCAACCCCTGCCTCTCCCCGTTGTAGTAATGCCCGGGGCTCATCGCGAGGGCAAAAACTTGAGGCTGATGGCAGTCTAGCAGTGGACTCTCTATTACAAAGAGGTTCATATACGGCCTTAGCTCTAAATACTTGTGTTTTAACCTATAAAAATGACGGTAATAAAAGCCGCTGTATTTTTCTTCTAGTCTTTCATCAACCCACCGTCGTGTCACCCATCACATCCTGCTACTTCCACACCTTAGTTGGGTGAAGAAGAAGTAGAGGGACATGTCCGGACCAGTGTGGCTGGTTGGGCGTTTGCAGGCAAAGCTAAAGGTCACGATTTCCGCTCATATGCCTGAGTTGCTGGTTCCATCTGGCCAGGGAGTACCCGGAGGCAACCAATCGAGAAGCAAACCAACGGGATGTTTCTCTCGCACGTTCTCTCCCTCTCTTTTCCCCTCCCTTCCCTTATATCTAAAAATAAATTAAAATCTTAAAAAAAAAAAGAAAGAAAGAGGGATGGCGGCCTGCAAGGTGTTCCCAGCTTCACCTCATAAAGCAAGACGCATGTGCTGGGGGATTGGAGGGGGCAACTGGTCCCTTTTCCCTCTACCCACTTCTTCTAGGCCCTTGACTAAGGCCCTGCCTCACGAGGCAGAACACACAGCAGGCTCCCCGTCTGTGTTTATTACAAACTGTTTAATTGCTTTGCCTCCTAATAACTTTACAAATACAGAACTACATGCCAGCCTGAGGATGCTCTGTAGTGAGTCACTACAGAGGAGCCCAGACACGGCTTAATGCTGCTGTCACCCGTCCAGGCGCAGTCTCAGCGGTGGCCTCAGCCATTGGGGCAACAGGGTCTCGGAGGACGGCTGCCAGGGGCAGCCAGGGCACTTGGCTTCAGGTCTGCGCAGGCGCTTCAGCAGCACGGTGCTCATTCTCTGTCCGCTGGGTCTCCATGTACTTTCGCATCTTGTCAACTATCCAGGAGGGTAGGACGAAGGATTTCAGCTCCTCTAACTTCAGGTCCAGGCATCCTCTGGCACAGGCATGGGGGAAAAAGTTGAAGACAGGATGCAGGCCCAGGCCCACCCTGGGGACTACTATAAGGCAGGGGAAAGGGTACGGGGGCGGACCTACTGGATTTACCTGTAATCATCGCTGGCAGCGAGGTCCCGGATGTCCTCCTCAATGAGGAGGTAGGCCTGGGGCAGAGCAAAGGAGAGTGACCATCAACTCTGATTCATTTCTATCTAACTCAGGAACACTTTATTAAACAGTTGCTTAATATAAGGGCTGTAAGGGAGGGGGCATAGTTTATAGTTTAGTAGGGAGAGTAAATAGGGAGACTGTCTGGGGGACAGTACCTTGAGGCAATCTTTCACTCAAATAGAAACTTTAATGGGTGAGGGAGTGAAAACTGGTGACTATAACTTCTTCCTCTTTTAAAAAAGGACCCTGAGCCCTGGCTGCTGTGGCTCAGTGGATTGAGCACCAGCATGTGAACTGAAAGGTCACGGGTTTGGTTCCCGGTCAGGGCATATGCCTGGGTTGGAGGCCAGGTCCCCAGTTGGGGGCATGTGAGAGGCAACCGATTGATGTTTTGCTTCCTCTGTTGCCCTCTTTCTGAAAATAAGTAAATAAAATATTTTTAAAAAAGGACCCTGACGTGCCATTAATAATGAACTGGAATGAGAGCTGGCAAAATGCACACGGAAACAGGACATTGGGAGGAAGCCATGCTAACTCTAGAAAGCAAGAGTATTTGGTTTTGAACTTCACGGCAGAAGGGAAAGCTGTAGTAACTGGGCTGTGATGTCCCGGCGCCTGTAATACTCCCTGGCACAATGCCACGGCTGCAGTGGGGGCGAGCCCTCTTGTGAGCGCGCCATGCAGAGGACGTTGTCCGTCCCACGAGAAGGAAAGTCTTCCGTGGGAAATGTTTCCTTCTAGTCTCAGGATCGGGGATAATCGATTGTGTGTCCCTTGAGTGATCTGACTGCCTTCCTCGTAAGGGCACTGGGAACTTGGCAACAGACAAGGTGTTCTTGAGGGGGCCTAGGGCTGAATTTGTGAAAACTCCTAAGTGCGCTGGTCTCCCAGGCCAGCACTTAAATCAAACAAACAAAAAACTAGCCTTGGACATGGCTTAATTTTAGATCCTGTTTTTCCTTTTCCTTATTTCTTATTTATGTTATGTTGCATTTCATGAATCAACGGTAAGCTCCCTGAAATCTGTTTTGAAGCACGGTGTAGGTTTAAATAGAGCAGTAAAATAAAAGGTAGCTTTTAGTACCAAGAAGGAGATGGTATACCGGTGCACAAGGCCATTAGATTCTTGGGGTACCGCAATGACGCTCTCATTAACTGAGCTGCCGAGTCTGGGCAGGGTGTGGGGAGGGGACACCGCCTGTGGTGGACAAAACCCCACCACGGTTTTAGAACTTGTGCAAGGCAACTTTCCTAAGGTCAAGGCCTGATGTGAGTGGAAAACTCCTGAGGTCATTCCGGGAGGGGCTGCCGGGTGTGGCAAACAAGTTTCGCTCCTACTGACCAGGGGTGCTGCCCAGGGCACTGTGACGAGGACAGATTTTCTACCAGTGTCTGGTGGCAGAGTGCTGTGATCGATGAGTGGGAGCTGTCAGCCGGCACAGTGATAAGTTGTACGAAGTGTGTCTTGTACCTGGTGTTGTACGCAGCTAACAAAATCCAAACAGGAGGGATGAGAGGTGAGGGGATGCTGTGTGGGAGACCTAGGGACAGCAAAGGGAACCCAGGGATTGCAGCCTGCCCTCCGGCATGAAGGAATGGGCCCCCTCTGCCCTTACAAGCCTCCCTTTCTACATTCATCAGGCTTTGGAAGTCTTGCACATTTGGAGGTGAGCTGCCTCTCAGAGCCAGAACCCTGGCCCCTCGGCTGGCAGGGGGCAGGGCACGGTCTTTGGCAGTGCCACGAGGGAACAGTGCTTACCATCTTCCCCCCTGTCGCCCGCATGTGATGCTGCTCGGCCAGCCAGTGCTTGTCCTGGGGGTCAGCTGCATACTGTGAGGGATGAAGTCACAGAGATGTTAGCCTGGTGGGAGGGGCTCTTCTCATTCGGTCCTAGAACACACCCTTGGCCCTTGTTGGGAACCGCCCTACCTGGTTTCAGAAGCTGTAACCCGCCCCCCCCCCCCCCGCCCCGACCCATGGCTAAGGCTGAGTAAAGGACCTTGGGACCATAAACCACTAAGGAGGCAAAGCTTATCTCCCTGGCAGGGGCACTGCCTCTGCCCCCTTTACTTTACTCTGCTTGGCCCTGGCAGGATGACTGGTTAGCTAATGACAGGTACGACTCCTCAAGGGAGGGACAAGCTAAGACACGCACAGTCACAAAGGGGCCCTCAGAGGACTTGGGGGGCTAGAGAAAAAGGGGGAGATGGACCCTTGCCCCTTGGCTTTGACATAGCCTGAGTCCTCATTCTGTCTGGAAGAAGTCTCCTAATCTCTTGACTGTCTTACTTCCCCTGCCTGACTTAAGCCTGAAACAATGCGGTGCAGCCCTGGGCAGGAACAGGAGGTTCCCCGGGCGATCAGGCCTAGGAAAGAATGCATAAATCCAGTGAAACCTGCTTTGCTAAGAATGTTCTCAATTTTCTTATAACGGTCCAAACAGGAAATGAGTTTGTTTCCCAAAGTTTTATAGCCCTTTAGCTAACGACCCTGACTCAGAATAAGCCCTCATAGTTCTTTGAATGTTATCTATTGTTTGATCCTTACTGCCTGACAGTGACTAATGAGCTTACCTGTATTCCTGTGCAAATGAACCCAATAAAAGCCCGTTGAGGAACAGGCTCCTGGCCTTTCTCCTCTGAGAGATCGGCCACCTTTCCTCTCCAAGCAGATCCTGTCTTGGTAGCCTTATTCTCATCTGTGGCAGCCAGGGGCGTGGGGAGGGGGGGCTCTGTGGGCAGAGACCCCCCACAGGCCCTTAAGCAGGTCTCATCAACAAGCCCTTGTCCTGGCTGGGTGGATGTAGCGGGCACAACCACCCCTTTAGAACAAGTGCAGGGGAGCCCAGGGAACCAGGGGTGGGACCTGATTTCCAGAGATTTAGTTCACATCTAGTCCCCAACCCTCTCCTTTCTCAAAACACAGTGTCTCTGACAACGAGTCAGACTGGTGACTGTTCTTACGGAGCTCTTCTCCTCTTTGCAAGAGCGATCTGGGGAAGCCTATGTAACACACGTGTGGTGGCCAGATTTACTGAAACAAGAACCAAGACACTTCGTGCTCGGGGGGAGGAAGGATAGCAGCACAGTTAAGAACCTGGTTTGGGAATCAGACAAAAATGTTTAAAGTCTGGTTTCTGCCACTTACTAGATGGCGGAGGCCTGGGCAGTAATTTCCTTGAGACTCAGTTTCTTCATTTTTAAAAGAGACTGTATTAATACTTGTAGGGTTGTTAAAAATCAGTAAAATGGTGCATATAAAGTGCTAAATAAATAGAGCATCTGACACATAGTGAATGCTCAATAAAGGTAGGTTTTTGTTTTTTAAAAAAATCCTCACCAGAGGATATGTTTATTAATTTTAGAGAGAGATGAAGGGAGAAAGGCAGAAACATTGATCGGTTGCCTCTACTGTGTGCCCTGAGTGGGGATCAAACCTGCAACCTTTTGGTGTACAGGACGACGCTCCGACCAACTGAGCC